TAATATATGTTGGAAGTCACCATGTTTTATCTATGATAACCTATTACTAATTTCCTTTTTTTTCTTCCTACATTCAGCAACTGTACACGGTCACGGGACCTACTTTGCTGTAAACGCCAGCTACTCAGCCCAGCCCACCTACTCCAAGCCAGCTGCTGATGGTTCTCGGTTAATGTTCGTCGCCCGAGTCCTCACAGGCGTCTTCACTCAGGGCCAAGCTACCATGAAGGTGCTTCCACTCCGAAACAGCCAGCAGCCTCACAACCGCTTCGATAGCGCAGTGGACAAAATTGATAACCCTACCATGTATATTGTGTTCCATGACAACTAAGCATACCCCGACTACCTCATCACATTCAAAGGAGATTAAGGGAAAAGTATTTTCTACTGTGGAAAAATGAAGGTTTCTGAAAAATCCAAAAAGAACAATATTAAAGTTATATTTCTAACTACATAAAGATTTATGTAGTAACTGGAAGTGTGTGGAAAAGTTACATTTGTAAAGGACCCAGAAACTTTGTCATAGTTTACACTAAATATTTAGGAAAGTTTTGCACACAAAACTAAATTTCCCTGTTGGGTACCTATGTGGTAGGTTTCTCTTACAAGAAGATAATGCACTTTTCATACTACAAGCAATTATATTTAATGCAAGCACGAGTTTATTTCTTCAGTGTTAAAGGATATCTTATCATAATCTAGTTCTGAAAGCTGTAAGAATTATGCAAACAGAAGCTGCTTATATACGAAGTATATGAAATATGAAGAAATATGACATGTTTGTACAAACACACACAGAAGGCATGTCACATGATTATGCATTTCTATTCTTTCATTTGGTTGATATTTGTATCTTACATCTTCAGAAGATTTATTGTATGCTTGTCTGGTCCTTTCTTGTACAAAGAAAAATAAGAGGAGGTGGGTGATCAACACTCAAATAGAAACTGTGAAATGTAAATATAATTGTGGTAATATTATGCAAACACATATAAAAACATATTCAATTCATAATTAGCTAACTGTTGAACATAGCAAACTGTCTGCAGAGGAGTTTAAAATGTTAACTGTGTTAAAATGAGAGTTAAACACATGAGTGATGAGATAATAGCTCCAATGGGATGATAATCTTTCTTGTCACACAGTTAAATGTGGCTTGATATGTTTCCTTGGAAGTATTTCTCCCCCCTAGTGGCCAACAAATGATTAAAATTTAGCTTTGAAATTAAATTTATTTAAATGTGCTTATTTTAGAGCTAAGGATTATTCAGGTTGTCAAAGGGTCAAAACGATAATTTTCCCATATATCATAAAGTCAAACCTCCTGTTTTCATTTACTCAAAAGCCAAATCTTTTTTAAAACACAAGTCATCTAGCAACTAGCTATTCATTTTACTGCTATCTCTGCAGCATTTGAAAGAAATATCAGTAGTGCTGAAGATAAAGAGCTGAAAAACTGCAGTTTTGTATAGCACATTTATATATGCCTATATAAATGTGCTATACAAACAGTTGTTCATCATCACTCACCTGTAATATCTGGACTTTGGCTCCAACATCCCAGGTCCTTCCATGCGAATGTGGATGTTCTCCAGGTTAAAGCTGAAGAAGTTTGTAAACTCCACAGTTGCTATCATCTATTCTCTACCAGAAACCTGAAATACACACAGGAATTGTAAAAATCCAGCTTTGTATATGATAAACAGTTTCTGGATAGGGCATCAAGCAACTAATGAAAGCAAAGTAAACCGTCTGACTGCGTGCCACCAGGTTTGTCTTTAATGTGATGTAGGATGCATACTGCAATATGAGAAAACACCAGCAAAGAAAAATAATGTGGCAAAAGCACACAAAAAAC